TGGGAAGGCCGAACCTTCATATGATATTTCTCCATATAAAGGTGATTACATCCTGTTCCCGTATTTGGGCTAATGCTCCTGCTTCCACCCATCTAGAGAAATAGTTAGTTAAAACCAAAAGGAATCGTACATTACCTCACCCTGCCGGGAGGGGGCCCACGATGTCTATTCCCCATTTGATGAACGGCCAAGGTGAGATGACCGAATGGAGGTGTTCGCCCTCTTGGTTAATTATTGGGGCGTACTTTTGGCATTGCTTGTATGTCTTCACGAAGTCTGCGACCTCTTTTTTCTTGGTGGGCCAGTAATATCCCTCCCGTATGAGGCATCTGGCCAGTGCCCGATTGCCAGAGTGAGCCCCGCAATACCTTTTGTGGACTTCTTCAAGGACGCGCTGAGTTTGGTTCGGGCCCCGGTACTTCGCTAAAGGGTCGCCATAAGTTCTCTTATACAGGTCATTACGGAGGATACTGTATCTGGCCGCTTGCATTCTCAATTTCTTGGCCTCTTTTTTATCGCCTAAGAGTGTGCCGTCTTGCAAGTATACCATAATTCGATTGCGCCAGTCCCAAGTTAAATTTATGGTTCTTACCTCGACTTGGTCTAGCGATGAGTTGAGGAGATGGACCACGTTTTTGTCTTCGGTTATGATGTTTTTGGTTGCCACTACTTGTTTAGCGAGGCCATCTGCTTCGGCGTTCTGTTCTCGTTGGATTTGGTCGAGCTAGCATTCTCGAACTCGGGCAGTAGCTTGCAGATTTCGGACTGGTATTTTTCCAATCTTTGCTACTTTATTTGGAAAGTCCCTGTGACTTGGTTGACTACGAGCTGGGAATCACAGTATAGTTTTTACCATTTAGCCTCATACTTGAGCTCTAGTCTCAAACCTGCAATTACAGCCTCATACTCGGCCTCATTTTTAGTCATATCCGGGCACCTTATGGACTGGCCAATTACTTCGCCTGTTGGGACTTCAAGTACTAGTCCCAGCCCGGATCCCGACGCGTTGGATGCGACATCGGTGTATAGGACCCCAAGGTCTTGTATTTGGGGGGAAGTTTGGACGAATTCCCTTTCGACTTCGGGCATTATTTTTACGCTGAAGTAGGCGACGAATTCAGCGAGCACTTGTGAATTTATCGCCGTTCGCGGCTGGTACGTGATATCGTGCTCGCTTAGCTCGATGGCCCATTTGGCCAGCCTTCCCGATACTTCGGGTTTATGTAAAATGATTCTTAAGGGAAAAGTTATGACGACCGAGATAGGGTGCCATTGGATATGGTCTAAGCTTTCGTGAAGCTATATTTAAGGCCAAAGCCAGTTTCTTGAGGTGCAGGTACCTCGTCTCGGCGTCGACTAGTGTTTTGCTAATGTAATAGATGGGAGATTGCGTACCTTTGTTTTCTCGAATCAGGACTGCGCTTACAGCTACCTCGAATACAGCTAGGTAAACGAGGAGACGCTCCCCCGGCTCTGGTTTTGAAAGCAAGGGCGGCGACGACAGGTATGCCTTTAGTTCTCACAGAGATTGGAGGCACTCAGAAGTCCATTGGAGGCTGTTTTCTTTCTTAAGTACGCCAAAGAACTTATGGCACCTATCCGACGACCACGAGATGAACCTTGATAGGGAGGCGATGCGGCCAGTCAACCTTTGGACCTGTTTTTTGGTAGTCAAGAGCTCTGGTATCCCCTCAATGGATTCGATTTGGTCGTGGTTTACCTCGATTCCTTGCTGTGATACCAGAAAACCCAGGAACTTTCCTGAGACTACACCGAACCCACACTTCTCCGGGTTCAGTTTCATTCCGTACTGTTTGAGTATGTTGAAAGTTTCTTTCACATTGTCGATGTGATCTTCTCCTCCTTTGGACTTGACCAGCATGTCGTCTATGCATACTTCCATTGTTTTACCGAGCTGAACCTTGAACATCCTTGTCACCAACCTTTGATAAGTCACCCCACATTCATTAGTCCAAAGGGCATGACCTTTTAGCAATACGTTGCTTGGTGGGTGATCAATGTGGGTTTTTCCTGATCCTCTTCTTCCATGAGGATTTGATTATAACCTGAGTAAGCGTCCAGGAAACTTAGTAGCTCATGCCCGGTTGATGCGTCGATGAGTTGGTCCGTTAATGCCGTCCTCGTCTGCTCAGACCTCGGCACAATAAGCGTTGTGGATTTCGTCCCAAGTGGTTGGGGGATTCTTCATCAACCGGTTCAACAGTTTCCTAGTCGCTCTCTAACCATCCCTACTCAACCCGTTCTGAAAGGCTGCGACCGCCATCCCTACGGATACGTTTGGCAAAGTCATCCTTACTCGGTTGAACCGGGCGAGGAAGTCCCTTAGTCCCTCTCCTAGGGCCTATTTAATTTAAAAGATGTTTTTTACTCTCGCCTTGGCCTTCTTGGCTCTGGCATGGGCCATTACGAACTTGTCGGCCATCTCTTCGAAAGTTTCTATAGAGCGTGATGGTAGCTGTGAATACTATGTTAATGCTTCTCCCTTGAGGGTTTCACCGAACTTCTTCAGCAAAATGGAGGACACTTGTTCTTTGGCGAGGTCATTGCCTTTTACGGCAGTGATGTAATGAGTCACATCCGGGTCGGTCGTGCCGTCGTATATCTTGAGATAGTGCAGCATTTTAAAGGTTTTTGGTATGGCATGCGGAGCTGCATCATCACTGTACGGTTGCTCTATGAACCGGCCGGCGTCCCTTTTCGGTATCAACTTAGGAGCGTTTGGTATTTTATCAACTCGCTCTTGATGTTCTTTCATCTGATCTCGGAGCGCCTTGTTTTCGTTCCCAATTTCTTCAATCCTATTTAGGATGGATGCGAGGGTGTTGTCACCTGCATTATTGACGACATTGTGAGTTATACCTATCGTTGGAAGGGGTGGCTGGTTGCACTGCTCATCCATTTATTATACTGTTCTAGTCCTTGCAGTTTCTACAGTCGAGCCTGGAGCAGGTTTGTTGAGGATGCTTGTCAGCGTGTCGGCCAACCACGCCTCAAGGAGCTTTTTATTAGCTGGGGGTGCCCCTTCTTCTGCAGACGTAAAGGCTCCTTTACCATGAGGTTTAGTTATGCTGCAGTTTGGGGGTGGTGACCCATCTCGCCTAGGGGACGCACTGGGCGTCGTGTCTTCACCCGCCGTTTCACAGCTCTCCTTGATGACATTTAGGAGGTTGATCGGGAAGTCACATGTTATCCTCACCCTTTCTTCTCGATTACCTGCCATGTTAAGTTTTGCACATAAAAAGAAAAGAGGTCTTGAGTTTTGTGACGTTAGCGACTTGCGTTAGTTGTAGATCTAGAGGAAACTAAAAATTTAACTAAGAAATTCCCACAGACGGCGCCAAATTGTTTGACTAAAAATATAAATCTTGATTAAAATAATTAAATTTATCTTAGCAAAGGTTAATCCTAGTTAATAATAATATTCTTGGATCTTAATATTAGAACAAGTAGTTGATAAGTGTCTATGTGGATAGCAATGGCACCACGTGATAAATGCTTTTTAAAAATCAAGAACTGTGATGTAGCATATAATATTCAATGAGCAATAGTAAATGGCATTTATGTAGATAAGGGGAATGATTCAATCAATAAAGGGTAGAATAAATGAACTCTCCACCTGACAATGATTGAAGGAAAAATCCTAGAATAATCGAGAATTTCTCGAATCTGATGGTAAAGTGTAGATGAGAATCTCAGCAAAACGTAGATATTTGATTGAGTGAAAATCGAATCTTTGTCAAAGTGCTATTCTTACAAAATGAATCTCACATGCACTCCTCTTCTGTCTACTTTTTCTATTCATATGGGATATCTTCCCAAGAAATCCTAATAGTACAAATGTCAAGAATATTCGCTAGAATATCCACTAAAATATTCTCTTTCAGATCCTGTCTTGAAAACTAGCCATTACTGCTCTATCGCCGGTACTCGACCTCCACCCTGATTCTTGTTGGTGTCTTGACTGCGACTCTCATTGACTCCTCGACCACAGGCTGTACAGCTTCTCAGACCATCTTAATAAATGATGACTTGAGGATCCTTCCCGTAATGTTATCTCGGCCTGAATATTCTAAAGGCGGATTTTGACCCATACAAAGCGTACTTTTTATCCAACAGTAAAAGTGAGTTTAATCTTTTACGTCTTTACCCTAAATCCATTACATCCGAGCTCAATTCTAGTAAAACAGAAAAACAACAATAAGATAACCATGAAATTTAAAACTTCGATTTGACTTGTAAAGTTTCACCCAATAATCATTGCACTATAGCCATGTCGGAGCCGCCTTAGGTTAAGGGGTATCAGTTGACATCCTTTTGCCGAAAAATTACACTCAGTAATTAGGACAAAAATTAATTTTTGTGAATATATACTATATAGTAAAGGGCAACCCGGTGCACTAAGCTCCCGTAATGCGCGGGGTTCGGGAAGGGCCGGACTACTAGGGTCTATCGTACACAGCCTTACCCTGCATTTTTGCAAGAGGTTGGTTCCACGGCTCGAACCCGTGACCTCCTGATCACATGGCAGTAACTTTACCAGCTACGCCAAGGCTCCCCTTCATTTCTTCACGTATTTAATTTTTTATATTGTGACACTCCTTAATGCAATTTCTGGCTTCACCACCACGCAATATGACTCTTTGAACTTGTGTGTACAGATATATATTTAAGCAATTTTGAAAAAAATATCACAGTAATATACATGACCTAGGGAAGTGAGCATGAGTTTACCTAAACTCAGGAACCCCTAATTTAAATATGCCTCTGCCAGCGATATATTAAGAAATAGAGGGAAAAAAGAAATAAATTAGGAGTGTGCTTTTTTTTGTTGGTAATTAAACATTTTCCATTAATCACCAATGTAACTTTACAAAATCACAGTTGGCTTTCACACAGCCTCCTGTCTCACCTATTCTTCCTATCTAACTATACAAATATCAAGGTTAAACTCAACTCCTATATGTTATTCTACTTTTCATTCAAAATCTAAGTTGCTGCATGAGGATTCTAGTTTGAGTTGTCGCTCTTACATTACAAACACATGCAACATTTCTAGCTAATTCTTCAGCTTCCCTGCTTTGCTTCTCAAATATCCTGAGGTTTCTCTCATTCCAGATTGTATGTATTGCCTCTGCATATACCATTTTGAAAACTGATGCTCTACTTGATTTTCCTTTTGCATTCTCTATTTCCCATTTCCAATGCTGGTCCCATGAGGTTGCCCAGAAAGTTCGTCTTTGTATCCATTTTAGCAATCTCTTCCACATACTCCTAGCAAACTCGCATTCAACAAACATATGATTCCTGCTCTCATCACAGGATTGGCATAGTACACATTTAGTATCCACCTGCATCCCCCATCGAGCCAATCTATCACTAGTCATCATCCTGTCTTGAATGTATAGCCACATTGTGAACTTAGCCTTTGCCCTTGCATCATTCCCAAACATGAACACCTTCCAATCCATTCTTGGTAATTGGCCCACCAGTTTGTAGTATATTTGTCTAATAATGCTCCTGTTATTCTTTGTCTGAATTTGAATTGCTTCCACTAAACTCCTTGCCTCCACCACCTTCCTGACTAGCCAAGAAGCTTGCTGTGGTATTGGCATGTCAGAGATTTGTCGCCCTTTTATGTAATAAGCATGTATCCATTTGATCCACATTTTGTCACCCTTGTTTGCAAGATTCCAATAGTTCTTTGTTGATGCTGCTATGTTCCAAACTTTGAGATTGATTATGTTTAGTCCACCTGCACTCTTAGGTGTACATATTTTATCCCAAGCCGCTAAAGATCTTCTTGTGATGACATTTTCTCCTGACCATACATAGCTCCTGCAATATGCTTCAATTGTCTTCGGTACTTTGCTAGGAATCAGGAATAACTGTGACCTATAAGCTTGGATGCCAAATAGGACAGATTGAACTAACTAAATCCGGCCAGCATAGGAAAGCTTCTTTCCAGTCCATAATGAGATTCTGGCCACCATTTTCTCAATGAGAGGCTGCCATTGAGCTATGGACATCTTCTTGGTGGACAATGGGACTCCTAAGTACTTGACTGGTAATTCTCCACTAGGATATCCAAATTTATGCACTATCTCTTCACTTGCCAAATGTGTTACTCCTCCAAAGAAAATTGAGCTCTTTTCCTGGTTAGCTCTCAATCCTGATGCCCCATAGAAATGGTTGAGGCATTGTAGTAGATGAGTAATTGAAGTCACATCTCCCAAGAGTAGCAAATCATCTGCAAAGCTCAGATGAGTTATTCCTATTTTTGAACATCTGAGATGATATTTGAAACCCCTTTCTTTTTTCAATCCATTCAGACATCTACTCAAGTATTCCATAGCAATTGCAAATAGGAAAGGGCACATAGGATCTCCCTGCCTCAGTCCCTTAGCAGCTGGGAATGGTTCTGAAGGTTCTCCATTAATAATTATAGAGTAGCTTACAGTTTTGACACAGGCAAGCACCCACTGTTGAAATCTGTTAGGGAATCCTAGTTCAGCCATCACTTGTTCTAAGAAGATCTATTCCACAGAATCATATGCTTTTGTTAAGTCAATCTTGATCATGCACCTAGGAGAGGAGTTCTTCCTTCTGTATGCCTTAACAAGCTCATGACATAGGATTATGTTGTCTGATATTTTTTTTCCTGGAATGAATCCTGCTTGAGCTTCACTTATCACACTAGCAATTACTTTTTGCAATCTATTTGCTAGTATTTTATAAATGATCTTATATAAGACAGTGCAGCATGCAATAGGCCTGAATTCCTTTGCTGTAGTTGGGCTACTCACTTTAGGCACAAGTATAATTGCTGTGCAATTTATGACTTTGTAAATCTTGCCAGTAATGAAAAATTCGTGAACTGCTTGCACAATCTCCTGCTTCACTATATGCCAAGCTTTTCTGAAAAACAATGAATTGTAGCCATCAACCCCTAGGGCCTTATCCTCATGGATAGCACATAGACCCTTATACACCTCTTCTTCTGTCACTTCAGTAATTAGGCTGTGCTGCTGATCATGAGTGAGTTTGAGACCATTTTGCATTATCTCTTTATTGATTGCTGGTAAAGACTTAGCAGAAGATCCCATAAGGTTTTTATAAAAGCTGATGAACTCCTCTTTAATGCTAACAGGATCAGATATCTTCCTTCCATCCATAGTTGTAATCTCCAAGATTTGTTTTCTGTGGCTTCTTTCTTTCATAATAGCAGAGAAATACTTAGTGTTGGCATCACCTAGTTTGATCCAGTTTACCCTTGACTTTTGCTTCAGAATACTCTCTTCAATAAATGACCATTTCTCTAACTGCTGTAGTGTTTGTTTCTCTTGCTCTAGCAGACTATCAGTGTATTTGCTTTGTATCTTCTCTTGCACTGTGATGAGATCACACCTAGCATTCTCAATTATCTGTGCAATGCCCTTATATTCTTCATCATTTAGCCTTTTAAATAAAGGCTTAAGGTCTTTGAGTTTCTTCCATATATCCTCCATTTTATCCTCTGCCATTCTCTTTCTCCATATACCTCCACCAAGCTATCAAAGTCCTTATGATCTGCCCACACATTAAAGAATCTAAAAGGGGATTTGACATTGATCCTTACATATTGAATATTCAACAACATAGGAGAGTGATCAGATATCAGTGGAACATCATATTCAGTACACACATTACCCCAGTTTGTCATCCACATATCATTAACAAATACCCTATTAATTCTGCTCAATATCCTAACATTTCCTTGTTGTTTGTTTGGCCATGTATAGTAGTCCCCTTTCCATGGAAGCTCATTCAAAAGGAGATTATGTATGCAGTCTGAAAAGTCAGCCATTTCACTAATTGTGACTGGATTACCATATATTCTGTCATGTGTGTACAACATGGCATTAAAGTCTCCACCTATTATCCAAGGCTTTGTCATTTGTATGGAGATATCATTCAAGCTTCTCCATAAAGTCTTCCTCTGTTCTACTGTGTTAAAGCCATATATCAATGTAAGACATGTTTCAAATCCATCCAGCCTCCCTCTTACTATGCGATGGATTAACTGAGATTCTATCCTTTCAATATCTATACTGTATACCTTAGGGTCCCAAGTAAGCCATATTCTTCCATTGACAGCACTCTGATAGTTGCACTGTAGTGGCCAACTTGGTAATATATTTTTGAACACCCTATTGGCTCTACTCTCTTTCACTCTAGTTTCCAGAAAACCAGCTAGTTTTATGTGTTTATTCTGTAAGTATACCCTTAACTCCTTTACTTTATATCTCTTATTTATTCCTCGAACATTCCACATTACCCAAATCATTGTGCTAAGATAGGAGGCCCACTACCTGCTGCAGGCAAGCATTTTGAATCACATTACCACTTGGGTTCCCCATTATTTTATTCCCTCTCTGCACACTAGTAGCCAAAGTTGGAAATTCCCTAATACAGCTCAGCTCAGGGCTTTTTTGAGGAGTTTGCTCCACCTTGTGATTGTTCCTCACTATTGCTTGATCTTCACATCTTGCTGGAGGGTGTTGTTCCTGTTCAGGGAATTGTTTATCATGTAACTCTGCTATTGGTTATTCTGTTCCTGCTACCACAGCAGGAGAATCCTTCAACTCTATAGGCTTCTTTGCTCTCCACTCCTGCATCACTTTGTCCACTGTTTGAGGCTCCGCTTGTGGGGCTGTTATTGCATTAGCAACTGGTCTCCTTCTCCTTCTAGGCTGCTCAAATTGTTGCTGTTCAGTCTCAACTTTCTTACACGAGTGTCCAATTTTCAAGCATTCTTCACAAAATTTTGGTTTCCAGTCATAATCTATTGCTTGTTCAAACTGTCTCCCATCAGGTCCCACACTATGACACACGTTGAGAGTGGTCTAGTGACATTGATCTCAATTAGCATACGAGCATATGAAATCCGCTTCTACTTGGATGTACACTCATCTGCATACAATGGTTTGCCAATTGCCCTTGCAATTCTACTCAATGACTGAACACTCCAGCAACTCATAGGGAGATTTGGCTGCACCACCCAAAGGGGAATTTCAGTGAGAATTCCTTAGTAAAATCAAAATTAACAATCCATGGTTTAAAAATAAGAGGCTTATTATTCATTGTATATGGTCCTGAGTATAAGACTTCATGCGTGTCATTTACAGACTGGAACTTAATAACATAGTATCCTTCTTCATGGTAGAATACCTCTGGTTCTGCGACTTGATTCCAGCTCTGCTTTACAAATCTGTGCATATAGTTTCCCGGAGTGTCCCCAATTACATAAACAATTAAGGCACTTCTCCATTTCATTATTTCCTTCTCAACATCCTCTTTTTCTAGTTGTACAACTGTTTTCCCATCAACAATTTGAGGTGGAATGTAAGTTAGCTTCAAACCGTTTTCAGAGCTGCGATTACCTGCAAACAATGAAGTCCACGCTGCTGTTTTCCCTATCTCCTCACTTACTGGTGCTAGATTTGATGCCGTCTTGCTTGAGCTCTCTAGATCTTTAGGTTTCTCAGTCAATTTGTCACTTTGGCCGCTTAGAATTGGACTAATACTCAAATCCGATCTCTTAGCTGGCCCTTGCTTCATCCCTTCACTTGCATGTTGCTCCATCCTAACATCATCCAATGGAACGGGAGATTTCACCATGTCATCTACCGGAGTTTTTTCTAGTTGCATGAGAACTTCAACTGGTTTTCCAACACCAGCTATAGGCTGCAACCTTGGTCTTCCGCGAGCTCGACCCCTTCCCCGCACCATAACCACGGTGGTCGTACATCAGACTAACGTGCGCCGGAGGGCATTGGACGCAAATTAAACTAATTTCACTATTCACGTTCTAAATTTCCTGACGAAAAATCCCACAAAGTTAGTGTGGTGGTTGAACAGGCGAAAATGAGCTTAAAAAATGACTAACTTAAGTGTGGAACTCCGTTGGGTGATCTTAGAATTGACAATGCACTCATTCACCTGTCCGTTTCTATGGGTTGTTGGCTTCAAGACGTTAATAAACTTGGTAGTTGAAACTAAAAGTGGGAATTCCATATCTGCAGTTGTCTTTAGGAAACACAGGACATTTGGACTCTGCGTGGACCTAGAATTAAGTGCTCTTTGCTATTTCAGATAATTAACTAGCTGTTGTGACGACAGAGAAAAAAATGCGACCATATTCAGTAAATCATTCATTACTCCATTTATGTTAAAAAAATGGCAACCCGTGTTGGGAGTGCGAACAAAGTCCCACATTGGTAACCGAAAAGATTGGGAGTCTACACCTAAGGTGTAGGGATATGCGAACAAAGTCTCACATTAGTAGCTGAAAAGATTGGGAGTCTACATATAAGGTGTAGGAATCTTTTAATGGTGTGAGGCTTTTTGGGAAAACCGTGCGGGCTTGGCCCAAAGCAGACAATTTCACATCATGTTAAGAGTATCTTTGGGCCGTTTTAGCCCAACAACTGGTATTAGAGCCCAGGTTCAGCGGGACGAGTATGGAGATGGCGGAGTGACGACGCGGGGCTGCACGCACACAAGCAGAAGCTAGTTGCAGGCTTCGGGTGCCATAATACTTTAATAATGTGGGTGACACACAGTAATCTCGAAAATTGACTCGTGGATCGTGGTAGTGGGCCACGTGGAACTTAGTTCGAGGGGGAGATTGTTGAGTGTGCAAACAAAGTCTCACATTGGTAGCTGAAAAGATTGGGAGTCTACATATAAGGTGTAAGGATCTCTTAATGGTGTGATGCCTTTTGGGAAAAACCGTGCGGGCTTGGCCCAAAGCGGACAGTATCACACCATGTTAAGAGTATCTTTGGGCCGTTTTAGCCCAACAACCCGATGCATGAAGTATTTCGTATTCACGTAGGGTCCAAGGAAGGGCCGCGCCCCAAGAAGTTTGATATAAGCAGTCTACCTTGATGCAAGCATCAATATTTGATTTCACAGTTCGAACCCGTAACTTATATCACACGCCATTTTCATTAGGGAAATTTTCGTTCCTATACCATATAGGAAACTATATTACCAAATATGTTTATAGTTTGCATATTACCCTTCATGCTAATAGTATTTCTACAAAATATAGACCATGCATTAAATAAGGAATCATTGTAGCTGTAGGCTTCCTTATTTAGGCGCTAAAATTGGGGGATTAAATATTCTTCCAGATCTTCCAAACGCAAATCATGCACATTAATCTTCTTCGTCAGTTTCGTTTCAAATTTAGTGTCTCTACATCAAACACAATTATTCTTCTACAATTCAAAAACGAATTGATTATTCTTCTACAATTCAAAAACGAATTGATTATTCTTCTACAATTCACAAATCAAAAACGACTAAATCTTCTACAGTTCTTCTACATCAAACGCAATTATGTCCAAATTTCAGTAATACAAAGCAAAGGAAAAGAGAGCAACAATTCCACGATTGACAGCCATTAAAAAGTTTGAAAGCTTTGAATTCAAATTTGGATTTTCAAAAATCATTATTTTTTTGGATTGAG